GATTTTACGTTATCCAAGCCAGAATCGATTTTAATCGATAAATCGATTATAAAAACCCACCCCTATATGGAATCACTTGCTAAGTAACCGATTGCCAGATTACTCACAGACAATGTAGTATGATTATAGATTAGTTGAAGTTCTTGGGTAAAGAGCATCCAGACACATTGTGCAGAGTGATGACGTTCCTCTTTACCAGCGAAGGACAACCATTTCTTTGTGGAAAGTCCCCAAACTGTCACCACAAAACTTGTTGTCTAGCACTGTATTATTATAGATGAAATATATGAAGTGGTGGTAGCCTTCTGGGTCTAAAGTGAACATCATGTGCCTTAAACCTGCATTCTTTCAAACGGCCATCGGGAGGGACAAAAATAGGTCTGCTTGTATGGACGTTTATGGGAAAATCACCCTCGGCTACTTTGATCTGTGTCCTCAGTAGACACTTTCCACATGACGGTATGATCTTAGTTTCTAATTTCTAGTAGCATGATCATCATTTTGTACGATACATTCTCTATTGGAGTTGTAAACGAGGTTAAGGAAGGGCAGGCCAACCTGATTGACAAGTTTCTACCTTGTATATGTCGTAGTATGAAGATGTACCTGGATTATTGTGTGGAAAAGGATTCTGCATATATTCTCCATAAAACAGAGCAAATCTCAATCTTATTGCAACACAACCAGAGTGCAACAACAATAAAGAGAATGGTTAGTAGAGTTGCAACATCAGCAGTGTTCATGTTAAAATGTCACCATCTTCGATATGAAAAGCCAAACAGTTTGCCCAGCACTTCCTCGGGGCCTTTCCTCCGTGGACATATGATGCTGCTGCAGTTTACTAAGGAGTCCAGGCTCCTGCTTATCAAGCAGCCGCCATTCAAAAGAAAATGTCACGTCATGTCACTCCCGGTTGGGTTGCTGGATCAAACGCACATGCTCAGCTGAAGCAAAAACACTCAGGAACAAATGTCACCCAGCTTTGTCACCGTGATTGAGAAATAATCACTTGATCTTGTTATGTGCCTGAACGTGTGTCTGAGCCTGTACTGTAATATCCTGTGAGTGTGATGGGGAGACATGGGGTGGGGGGTGGTGGTGTTTGGCTGTGTCTCCATGTTTGTTTGGTGAGGTATACATTTATTAGATTTTCTTTTGGACACTGTTTGTGTCTTTCACAAGTAGATGCCAAAAAACAGCAAAATTAGCGTCTCTTTTAGTTTTCACTACCAACACAACAACCTGGTTTAGTTACAGCCCATTTTTAAGTTTCCCACTGAGACCAGATTTTCATATCAAAGTATGAAAACTATTGGCCAGTTCTTACAAAGAATCCTCAAACACAGTCAAATGTTTTCCTACCATTTAAAATAAGGAGTCAAATAAATACTTTTAGAAGTAGAGACTGAGAGTTGTACAGATCTCAGCTGTAAATCTGCTATGCAGGAACACAGCAAAAGGTGGTGCTGTAAAAGCGCACAGTGCAGCTCTGCAAACCTTCAGACAAAAAAACAAAACAAAACATTTAAGCCTGCACAGAATAAGAACTATTTAATTTATGAATACATCAGCTGACACTACAGTCTGGCAGATGATAGTAAATATTCCTCCAGATTGCTCGTTGTTTTGTTTGGCATTTTTACAGCCCAGCTGAGACTTTTAAAGTCTGCACTTTAAATGCTGTCAATAGATAAAGCAGTTGCCAGTCAATTTATACACATTCAAATCATGTCTTTGTTACCATAGTTCTTTCAAACAGTTGGCACTGATTGGGTGTAAAAGTGTTACATGTACGTGTTTACAGGTGCTCGTGTTACTTGTGTGTGTGCATTCTGGCATGCTTTTGGCTCATTAACAATATTTAGCAGTGTGTAAGTTGAACATTTACAGATTCAAGATCATTATCATTATTATCATATGACACTGATACCCCCAGACTCTGCTTGGGGATTGTCCACACTAGGAGAGTGTTGACTGAGCCCGAAGTCTGAGCGCTGGAAAGACTATGGTGATGTTTGTGGAGAAAGTGCTGGGAGAGACAGCTGTTGCACAGCATGGCCCTCTCCTCTCCAAGTCTGGGGCCCCAGCTTTGCCCGACTCCGAAGACGAGGAGTATCTGGTCGATGTACCTGCAGTTAGCTGGGCTGACCACATGAAATATGTTCATGGGTTAATCGAAGACGAGCCAGAACCATGCAGGAGTGCTGACTGGCCAGTGGCCCCTAGTAAGATGATGATGTGCTGGAGATTGGCTTGGGCATGGTTTGTCAGAGGATGAGCAGGAGAGCCTATCGTCAGCCCAGCGTGCTGCTGCTACTGCGCTGGCCAGCTACGATGATGCGTCTCTTTATCCCTGTTTCACCACTGGCCCTCTCATCCACCAGTTCGTGGGATTTTTCCTTCCACCAGGGGCCAAAAATTCATCTTCCCATGTTCCTAGAATTTGTTTGCAAGCTAACTGCATCATGGAGCAAACCGCCGTCCAACCATATCACTGTGCCTGCCTATTGACTGTACATGGAGCTGGGAAGCATGGAGTACATGGATGACACCAACGAGGCTGGCTTAGCTAACACACCTCGTATGGAGCCATCCCTGGCTGCTTATCTGGCACCGTCCCACAACCATGGTGTTGGTGGCCCCACAACTGTGCCGTACAAGCAGTGCAGATTCTCCACGTTGCAGCTGGACAGTTTCAACTGGAATTCAGGCGGCGTTTCCAAATGACATAATGGTTGTTGGGCATGATGGCATCTCTGATCGCTGTAGTGTCACTTGGACTGTTATAGATGAGTGTTTCAATGGTGGACTCTCTCACCACCTGTGTGCATCGTGTCACCTGACAATGACACGTATCTTGCATGCTAGCTGTTTGTCCCTGGAGGGAGCCCAGACTGCACCAGGGCTCTTGGATTGGGAGGGTGTTGTTTCACAAGGTGGTATCCACAGATGGGGATGGGGAGCTCTGTGCGATGGCGCATCAGTGAGAGGCGTCGGGACCACAGAGCAGCCTGAGCTGCATATGAATCACTTAGAGCTGCTAGCAGTGTTCTTAGCTCTCAGGCATTTTTGTTCCGAGGGTCCAGCATGTCCTAGTCAGGACAGACAATTTAACAGTGGTCTCTTACATAAACAGGCAGGGAGGGATACGCTCTCTTCCCCTGTTAAAGCTGTCTCGCTCTCTGCTTCTATGGTGCAGTGTTCATTTTCTGTCTCTAAGAGCCACCCATGTTCCGGGCCACCTGAACCTGGGGCCAGACCTTGCCTCCAGGGGGTGTCCCCTGGTGAGGGATTGGAGGTTGCACCCTTTCACAGTGGCCCAGATTTGGGATCTCTTTGGCAAGACGAAATTACACCTTTGTGCCTCCTGGTACAACACAAGGCTGCCCTGTTATGCAGCTTGGCTCGGTGAAGGGCGGCTATCGAAGTCGGGGTCATTGTGATTACAGGGAGTGAATGTGCAGGCGGGGCCAAAACCATGTCATTACAGGTCGTCTTTAGGGTTTGAATAGAGGTTTCTTCAGCCAGGACACAGGGGGCATGATATGTACCTCGTTCCTATCCTTCAGATAACAGAACTAATAGACATGACTGTTTGTTTGGATCTACTCTGTTAGTTGAAATAATTGCTTCCCAGCTGATCCACAGCCAATGATAGTGTCCTAACTCTGTTTTTCCACCTTTTTTTTTTTTCATAGGATGAAGAGGAGGAAATTAAGTTGGAAATCAACATGCTGAAGAAGTACTCCCATCACAGAAACATAGCCACCTACTACGGAGCCTTCATCAAGAAAAGTCCACCAGGCCATGATGACCAGCTCTGGGTGAGTTTAACATCCCATTTCTATAACGAGCACAGTATTACACACATTACAGGTTCAATTTAAACTGGACACAGCGGTCATTCTTCACTCTTGACCAATCACAGAATCTGAATTGTTCATATAACTTAATGAACCGAATCTTGAAGAATCCTAATTTAGAACATCTGTGGAGTTATTGAGCAAAGGGACGGAGTAGGATTAAATTCATATTCAAGCAGGAACTATAAGATCACGTAACAAGATTCGATTTTGCATACATTCAGTGTGTTATCATCATACTTTAGAAGGTATTTTGAGACTGTAATGAAAAGATTTGCCAGGCTAAAAAAAGACAAAGTAAACAATATTAGGGATTCCTGTATAAGCCAAAGTGTACACTGGTTTTTTTTTTGGTTTTTTTTGCCTGTCTCATTTGGTTCTTTAGCCGTCAGAATTGTTGTCTGAAGACCAACAAGGATACCCAATGGATTTATTTTGCCAAATGGATCATCATGGCATTGCCGTATTGGTCCATTTGATCGACCTTTGTTGTTATTATTTATTTTATTTTATTTTCAGTTGTTACAGACGGGACAGACATGAGTGAGGGATAGGAAAGGGGAGAGGGACAGTGAGAAAGGGGGAAAAAAATATCTCCTGGATCACCTGTTGAGAGAAAAAGAATAGAAAACAAGCACTGTACATAACAGTACACTGTTATTTTTAGAAAGTTATTTGAATGTGTGATGACAGATAAGTCTGTGAAGGTTCTCAGTCATCCAGGTCATCATAGGTCAAGCTCCTATCATGCGATAAGCATGATAAGGTGGGGCCAGGTTTCACAATGAGCTCACCCGAAACCCTGGCTGATTGGGACCCACACCCAGTCTCACACCTTGGCTCAGGCGATTAGAGGATCATCACGGGGTCCTTTTGTCCCTCTGTGGGGGGAAACTCCCACTAGGTTTATATCTGGGACTCTTCACCATTTGACCTTAGAACTGAAGAAGCTTCTCGGATGAGAGGTGAAACGTCTTCAAGCAACTTAAAGAAGTCCAGACGCTTTTCTTTGCAAGCTCCTTTGACGATGACAGATAAGAGAGATATTACATACCATGAAGTCAGAAAGCTCTCCAGCTGATATGGAGTTGAAGTTGCTTTATGCATTTTCCTCATTACAGCCAGTATGCAGTTCTTCATATTTGAAGAGCAGTAAAAGAAATGACAACAATACAAAAAAACAAAACAGATTTCTAGAAAAGAGCAACAAGACTGTGGAATTAAATAAATGGTGCATAAGTGAGAAACAAAAGGAAGAGAGTCAATCAGAGAAGGGAGAGGTGGGGAGGATCAGGAAGTAGAGAACAGCAGAAGGAAAAATTTACAGCTGGTCGTTTGTCCGAGGCAGGATTACCTCGTTTTATGACCTGGAGGCTCTGCTGTTCCTGGGGAGGAGGAGGGATCTCACTCTCACTTCACAACACAGTCCTGTATTTGTTTTTACAGCTGCTTCCACGGCCCCGTTTACAGCCTCCACTGTTGTGGATTCATGCTGTCTGCCATGCGTGGGGGTGACATACAGAGTGTGTGTCTGTTTTATGATATTCATGTTCTGTGCTGACACCACTTAAGACTACTGTCTCAAGAAGATCACTTAATGTGTTTATGAGGCATATATCCTTTAGTAAGCAAGTGAGAGACACTGTATCAGAGGCTTAGTGACCATTAAGATATAACACACAATACAGAGGTGAATAAAGCAGTGGAGTTCATATTTAACATATGTGGATCTTAGAGTTTCTCCTGCTTTTATTGTTTGTCTCTAGCTCAATCACGGCAAAGGGTAAACTTTGATGTGATTGCATTTTTTCCTTCCGCATTCCCTTTTATTCTTTCTGCCGTCTCTTGTTACAATATACTCTGAAGTGCTGCACAGCACTCCAGAAGATTTGCATTCACATGAGGCGTGGTGGCTCAGAGAAGGAAAATGCAAAGTTAACTGGGACCACTGAGTTTCTCAATAATTGCTCTGTTTGCTCAAGGTAGCTCTAATACGATGAGATAAGCTACCTTATTTATTCCCAAATTTGGGGAATTTCCCATTAAACACAACAAGCAGCAAATCTTAAAAAAATTAGGGTGGATTAGTAAAATAAAATACAACATGATAAGATTGTCAGAGCCCAGTAAGCTAGAATAGCTCAATAATGAAAAATTAGACAAAATCAAAGGTGTGCAATCAAACACATTAAAGTGAAATAAAATAAAGAAGATCATTAAGTAATAAATCTAAATAAACACAATAAAGCACATTTGAAATCTTAATATTGCATTACAGTAATACATAA